AACCAGTACCAGATAATAATTATTGCCTTATAATATAGTTTAAGATCTGGTACTGCTAAAACTCCTTTACATTTTTCATTAGTTCTTTTGCTGTTCTTGATCTTTTGTTCTTCCAAATGAACTTTATTATTTTTTCTAGCTCAATAAAAAAATTTTTAATTTTAATTTTAATTTTGATTGCTAGCATTTCTAATACAATATTAAATAATATTGATTATAATGGTATCCTTGTTTCACTCCTGATCTTATGGGGAAGGCCTCTAGCTTATTCCCCTTGCAAATAATGTTTGCTGATGGTTTTAGGTGGATGCTTCTTATCATTTTAAGGAAAAGCCTTTTTATACCTAATGCTTTCAAGTGTACTTAGTAAGAATGAGTTTTTTATTTTGTCAAAAGCCTTTTCTGCATCTATTGATATAATTATATGATTTTTGTTACTTTTATTATTGATATAATCATGTTAATGGTCCTTATGTTAAACCATCCTTGCATTCCTGGCATAAATCCCACTTGGTCACAATGTATAATCTTTGTGTTATATTATTGTAGTTTCCTAGCTAGTATATTATTTAGGATTTTTGCAACCATATTCATTAATCAAATTGTTCTATAATTTTCTTTCTCTGTTTTTGCTCTTATTGGTTTAGGTATCAGTGCCGTATTTGTTTCATGAAAGGAGTTTGGTAGGACTCCTTCTTTGGCTATTATTCCAAATAATTTATTTAACCTTAGAATTAGTTGATCTTTAAATGTTTGGTAGAATTCCCTTGTAAATCCATCTGGTTCCGTTGCTTTTTCTTGGGAAGCTCATTTATGACCTGTTCAATTTCTTTTTCTAAAACAGGTTTATTTAGGTAGTCTGTTTCCTCCTCTTTTAATTCAGGCAGTTTATATTTTTATAAAATTTCTTCCATTTCATTTAAATTGTTAAATTTATTGGGATATAATTAAGCAAAATAACTCTTAGTAATTACTTTGATTTCATGTTCACTAGTGGTATGTTCACCGTTTTTATTTTTGATGCTAGTGATTTGTGTTTCTTCTCTCTTTTAAATCGTATTAACCAATGGTTTATCGATTTTGTTTTTTTTTCATAAAAACAATACCTACTTTTTTTTTTTATTAATTCAATGGTTTACTTGCATTCAATTTTATTAATTTCACCTTTAATTTTTAAAATTTCTAATTTGGTGTTTAATTGTAGATTTAAAATTTGTTCTTTTTCTAATTTTTTTTAAAATCTCATATCTAATTTATTGGACTGCTCTTTCTCTATTGTATTGATATATTGCATTTAGAGATATAAATTCTCCTCTGATTACTGCTTTTGCTGTATCCCATAGATTTTGCTATGTCGTCTCATTATTATCATCATTCTCTTTAATGAAATTATTTACTGTTTATATGACTTGTTCTTTAACCCATTCACTCTTTAAGATTAGGTTATTTCATGTCCAATTAATTTTTCATCTGTGTTTCCACGGTCCCTTGTGATCTGAAAAGGTTGCATTTGTTATTTCTGCTTTTCTGCATTTAACTATAAACTTTTTATGCCCTAATATGTGGTCAATTTTTGAAAAGGTACCATCTACCACTGAGAAAAAAAAATATATTCCTTTCTATTTCCTTTCAGTTATCTCTAGATAGCTATCATAACTGGCTTATCTAAGATTGTACTTGTCTCCTTGACTTTTTTCATGTGTTTTTTTGTTAGATTTATCTAGTTCTGAGAGGGGAAGGTTGAAGTCTCCCATTATTATTGTATTGCTATTTATTTCTACCTGTAATTCATTTAGCTTTTCCTTTAAAAATGTAGATGCTATAACATTTGGTGCATATGGGGTTATTGTTGATATCACTTCATTATCTATGGTACCTTTAATCCTAATGTAGTTTCCTGGCTTATCTCTTTTAGTTAAATCTATTTTAGCTTTAACTGTGTCTGAGATCATGACTGTTATCCCCTCCCTCTTATTTTGCATCTAGTGAACCAAAATAAATTCTATTCCAGCCCTTTATTTTTACTCTATCTGTATCTCTCATTTTAAAATATGTGTCTCGTAGACAACATACTGTCAGATTATGGATTTTAATCCATTCTGCTACTCATTTCCCTTTTATGAGTGAGTTCATCCCATTCACATTCAAAGTTATAATCAGTATTTGTGTATTCCCTCTATGCTACTTTCTTTCACTGTTAATCCTTCTCTTCCTCTCTTTCACGTATCACTCCTCAGGCAACTAATTGACTTCTGACCACTGCCTCCCTTTTTAAGAATTACTTCCTTACCTCTTCCTTAATCTGCCATTGTTCTAAGAGTCCCTCCCTTATCTTATCCCCTTGGCCTCTTATTTCTTAATTTTCATGCCCTTCTAAGAGTCTCTTCCTTATCCTATTGCTTAGCCCTCTTATTTCTCTGTAAATTGAAGTTTTATATACTCATCTAGATGTATATATATTATCCCCTCTTTAACCCAGTTCTCATGAGAATAAGGCTCTAGCACTCCCAGCCCTCCACCCATTCCTACCCTCCACTGTAACAGTTCTTTCATTCATGCCCGTTTGTATGAAGTAATTGCTCCATGTAATCTTTCCCTATCAATTTTATTTTTTAGGATCATCCCATCATACACAACTCAACCCCAAACCTTCTATCTATATATGCTCTTTCAAACTGCCCCAGTAATGATAATATTCTTAAGAGTTACAATGTTTCTCCATGTAAGAGGTAAACAATCTGACCTTATTAAATCTCTTATGATTAGTTTTTTATATCTACCTTCCTACGTTTATCCTGATTCCTGTAGGTCAAATTTTCCATTCAGTTCTGATCTTTTCCTCGCAAATACCTGAAAGTCCTTTAATACATTAAATATGCATTTTCCCCCCATGCAGGATTACATTCAGCTTTGCTGGGTAAGTTATTTTTGGTTGCAAACCCAGCTCCTTTGCTCTTCAAAATATCCTATTTCATACCTTTTAGTATTTCAATGTAAAAGACAATTCAAATAGAAATGATTCTATTTTCTGGCATGGCCCTGCTACATTGTCCAGGTCACACAGCCAGAGTCTGTGCAGTAAGGATTTAAACTCTGGTCTACCTGACTCCAGGCCCAGGGTTCTATCCACTCTGCCACTTAGCTATTAAAGTTGTGTGTTTGTGTTTCATTTATTTTAGCAGAACTCTATTGATGGTGCAGTGACTTCAGTTTTTTTCCTAGGGCTCCAACACCCAGAGAGGGCATGCCTCCTTCTGCTGCCCCCTTTTGCCTACCTGTTCAGTCTCCAGTCCCCCTGGCCCCCAAGCTTTCAAGGTCTCCTTCATCGTTATACACCTATTCAAAGTTTTCCTTCTTCACTTAGATTTCACTTCTTTGTAAGCCAACAATTGCTTTTCACTGGATTCCAACCTCACTCCTCCCACCCCATATAAGATATAAATGCATATAGGGTCAAAAAGGAACCACTGTGAGAGGTAAAATATGCTTTTCTCTAGAGGCAACAATAACATAATGGATGATGTCAGATTTGCAGTCAGGAAGATCTGAGTTCGAATCCTTTCTCAGTTGCTTACTGACTATGAGCTCCTGTACAGGGCATTGTTGCTCTCTCTAGCCTGTTTCCTCATCAGTAAAATGGTGAAAATACTAGCACTTATCTCACAGTGTTATTGTGAGAATGAAATTTGATAACATGCAGAGCTTTATAAACCTTAATATACTATATGAATGCTAGCTAACATTATTGGTGGATTGAGCTATTTATTAATAATAGGGCCTTAGGCAAGATATTTTACTTTGATCTATAAAGTTTTATATATATATATATATATATATATATATATATATATATATATATATATATAACAATAAAGTTAATCCAACATATGCTCTCTCTATATATACATACATACATATATATATATATATATATATGTGTGTGTGTGTGTGTGTGTGTGTGTGTGTGTGTGTGTGACTTTATTGTTAAGGTTCCTTCAGGTTCTAAATCCCATGATCCTAGGATTTTGGAGGAAAATAGGCATTCCCACAGCATATCAGTATGGCAAGATGGGACCAGTAGATGGTGATTCTTTTCAGGCGCCATTTTGACTAGGTACTCTCTGACGCCTGATTTGTGTTCCCTTAGGCTGTCCAATTCTATGATCCTGACCATGGGGAGTTCCTGGACTTGTGAGTTGATCCAAGCACAAGATGGAATCTGGCTCAGAAGTCAGTGGACATCACAGCTGTGAGTCCTGTTGAGTCGCAGCTCAGGTGCCCCTCTGAAAGTTTGTTATTTTTTTCTGTTCACACAAACTCTACCTGATGCAACTTCTGCCATCTCCAGGATTCTGAGTCCCTTGAGTGACACAAGGACACACAAACTCTTCCATAAGGGTCCCTGTCTACTAGTCTCTGTTGTTAACATGGACAGATGTTCCAAAACATTTTTCCACTTGTGGGTTTTTTTTTTTACCTTTGATTCAGGGACGCAGCTGGAGATGCCTGAGGCAGGAATGGTCCCCAGAACTCCTTCATGTCTCTGTGGACAGCATTGTCAGTGAGTAACTACAAGGTTGCTGAGAGACAGAACACAGTTTAGGGGCCAGGGAAGCCATATAATCATCCACATGGTATTATATCACTGCCCTGTCCTTGATATGGGCACAACTAATGTTCCTTTGTGTTTCCTTAGATGTAGAGGGAGGGCTTGACCTGACCATTGGCCCCAGAATAGGACATTGCAGCTCCAGGAGTTTTCTTAGCAGACGAAGCCTCAAATGTTTGACTTTGCTCTAGTTCTGGCAGCAACTTGGCTCCTGCCAGGCTTTAGGCTTTATGTAACGTTCAGGAATATGTGGCCTCCTGTTCAGAGAAAGATTTCTCTGTTCCTTTCTGTCCTGTTCCTTTCACTGCTGCTGAAACTTCCTGAGAACAGGACAAAGGAGTCACCCTGCTTCCCCCAAATCAGCCCCAGCCTTGTCAGAAATGGGGATCTCATGATTGGGACTTTTCTTCCCATGTATTCAGTTCAGGTGAGCAGTGTCACTAGAGCAGGACGCTTTGGAAACAAACCTGACAAGGATTGTCGGAATTATAAGCAAGTGCCTGCCTGCCTGTGCCTCTGACAGGGATGATGACTGCAGAGATCTTTATGGGAGAGGAGGGCAGGAAGGTGGGCCCTTGCCCCCTAAGCTAGGATCTCTTCTTCCCTCTGTTCTCTGACTTTTGTTGCTCATGGTCAGTTTCCATCCATCTGATTATCTTTCAGAGCTGAAGAGTGAAAGGATTCTCCCTGTCTGTCTCCCTGTCTCTGTCTTTTCCTGTCCCTGTCCCTGTGTCTGTATTTGCACCTGTGTCTTTCTGTCACCGATCTTGGGCAGAGGAGAGACCTGGCGTGTTGTCTTGGCTCCATTCGTGTTGTGAACGACTTCAGTAGCAAGCTCCCACTGTAAGGGTAGCATTGGACAAAAAGGCCATTGTGAACCAACTATCCCCTGTGCCCATTGTAGCCTTTAACAGACTTTCCCTTGAGAACAGTAGTTGTTCATGTTGACAGGGGAGTTGGTTTCTTCATCCCTGATTCTAATCGTAGCAAGAGTGGATGAAGAAAGAAATGGACACAGGGTTTCAAATTCTCAGAAAACAGGCAGTTAATAGAGGCCAAGTCAGTTTGGATGTTAATGATAGAGTGAGGAGGCCTGAAGATTCTCGTGTGTTGGCCTATCACCTCCTGGAATACAGATCAGAATTATCTTAAAGATGAGAGTTACTTTTGAAATATTTCTGGATTGTAAATAGTTAGAAACATGACATTAATATGGGATCTGTTTGACCATCAGTTTGGGGCTGTTTGATTAAATTCTTGATAGTAATTCACCATTTTAAAAAAAATTTTCTCAGTCCCTGATGTGGAAGGGAAGAGGTGAGGAGAGAGGATGAGAGGTCTGAGTGATCACTCCTGATCTTGAGCTGAAGATATTTAGACAGCACCTGCTAGCATATTCTGTGGGTAGAAAATTGAAGTGTTTCTTATCTCTTAAATATGTTCCTGTGCCTTTGTGCACTGATTTCTCTCTTCTAGAGATCCTCATCTCCACCCATGTAATTCCCCATCATTCCAGGGCTATGATTCACTTCATGAAGTCCTCCTCTATTGGGAAGGTGCCTTTCATGGCCCAGCATTCCTGACTCTCTCTGTATGAGTAGTAGACCAGATAATCATCACTGCCTTGTGGCCTATCATGCTTCCCTTGGCTATATCCTAGGCCTTCTGGGCACAGGAGATGTTTGGATAAGTTAGGGGAACATACTCTTGTCAGGTACTGTCGTAACACAGAATCAGGAGCATTCAGTATACCAAGGAGGAAAGACAGCAGTATCCCTTATCTCCCACTTATATCACTGGGGAAAAGCTATGTGGATTAGATGCTAGACACAGTCCTGATGTCAAGGAAAAGAAGGAGGCCAGTGGCACTGAGGCACCAGGTTCCCTGTTCATCCCTAGTTCTCTATTTTCCCTAAGTCGGAAAAGTAGGGAAAGCAGTGAGGATACTGAGTTCTAAGAAGAGAAATCTATAAGGACTGGAATTCCTTGTCAGAGGCACAACAGCATTGGACAGAGCCAAAAGGAAGGAAAAACAAAGAAACTATAGGAAGGAAGATTTTTGTGGAGTCAGGGAGATGTTCACAAAGGTACAGAGTGTGTAGGGAGTACGGACATACTTCATTCTTCTGGTGTCTTGGATAATGTTAGGTGTTTGAGTGGTGTGAAGAAAGGTAGAGTTATATGAGGTTATCAGGGACAAGCAGGTTCAGTCTTTGGGAGCAAGGACTATGGGAGCTCATACTTGGGTTGTGCACACCAAGGTTCTTGATTGGTGCTAAATAAAGCTTGGTGAGGGCAGGGGAGAATTGTGAATGAATTTTTATTTAAACACAGACCCTAGCAGAGAGCATGACTTTTGGCAGTCACTTCTGGTCTTACTCTTACAGGATGACTGAGGATTTTGGTTATTTTTTTTAAACTTCCCAGTATTTCTTCATTTATCTCTTAGGTCAGGGTACTGTATTCCTTACAGTAATGTTATAGTGGGAATTCCTTTTGAGAATGAGTTGAATTAGATGATTTCTTGGCTGCTTTCAAAATCTTAAATTCTATTGTTCTGAAATGGTAGGCATTCAATATATTTTTGTATGTATGTATGAATGAATGAATGAGTGAGTGAGTGAGTGACTGGCAGGCAGAACTCAAAGGAAATGGTCCTCAACATTCCAAACACAAGAGGGGAGCACTAAAGGAACAATGGAGGCTGTTATTAATACCCTCAAAATGAGCTAGAGTTCTTAGGTTTAACCCTCATGGGGCTGGAACATCCTTCTTTAAATGAATTCTCTTTTACAGACTTTGTTAATGGTTTCTGACTCTCTCCCTTTAGGTGGCTATACAAAAATTACCAACAAGCCCTGGACCTAATGCTTGCTGGAGAGGAGATCAACAGGAACCCTAACCTGTTGCCCAAGCTTACCCTGGGATTCCACCTCTACAACACCTACCACAGTGATGAGAGGACCTTGGAGAGCTCCCTGCGGTGGCTGTCAGGGCAGGGCAAGCTCATCTCTAACTACAGTTGCTGGGGGCAGCACAAGTCTGTGGCTGTCATTGGAGGAGCCACATCAGCTCTGTCTGTCCAGATGGGGACCCTCCTGGAGCTCTACATGTATCCACAGGTGAGTGATATTGACCCTGACACCTTCTGAGGCTTCATTAGATCCCTGAGGGCATCATGGTATAATGAAGGAGGCCCAAGTTTAAGAAAGCTGCCTCTGTTGTATGACCCTGGCCAAATCTCCTAACCTCTCAGTCCTCTAAGCAATTCTCAGAGACTATAAATTTCAGAGAAGATGCTAATGTGCATTAATGAACGCTATGTCTTGCCTGGACATTTGTACACCAATGATATCATCGGTACAACTTTGAAAACCTACGCAGGGAGAGAGTGGGCCTGCCCTTGAGCACCATGCTTCCCACCTCCTTTATTGTAGCTTGTGGATGTTCCCCAGTTATTTCAGTAGTGTCCAGCTCCTTGTGGCCTCATTTGGGGTTTTCTTGGCAAAGGCAGTGGAGTGGCTGGCCATTTTCTCTCCAGCTCATTTTTAGATGACAAAACTGAGACAGAGAAGGTTAAGTGCCTTGCCCAGGGTCACACAGCTAGTAACTGTCTGAGTTTGAATTTGAACTTGGGTCTTCCTGTCCAGTGTTCCATCCAATGCAGCACCTCGCTGCCCCCTTTATTTTGTAGGAAGGACTAACTTCTATCACATGAGGAGATCTTAAACATCATGCAGGCCCACTTCCCTGTCATCCAGATAAAGTACCTGAGGATCAGGGGGCATGAAACAGCTTCACCAATGTCTCAAATGTAATTGATGAAAAATCTGGGACTAAAACTCATATGTTTTCAATACTAGTTCATTGCTCTAAACACTTACATTATCTGTGTTTCACCCTCAAGCTACATATTGCCTGTGAATGTCACTATTACTTTTTTCTTTTCCCAAATAAGACTTATTTCAATAAAAGGAATACTGACCATCGGTGTGGAAAGTGCAGGTTCTGGCCAGCAATGATGAGAGTACCTTTTAATTGCTGGAGAGGGGAAAGAAAAGGCACTCACTAAAAAAGAGATCTTACTAATACATATTTCCTCTCTCCCTCATACTATTAAATAGAAACATGACAGTATAAATGCGTGACCTCACAGAGGTGATTATTCTTCTTAAAACATATTTTGGCTTTAATTTCAAAGATCAATCATTGTAGTATATCCTCTAGGCCACAGTGAATAGAAGAAAGAACATGATTCCACCTGAACTCTTACAGCAAAAATAAAGCTTTGCTATGGATAGCGTCAAAAGCTTTCCTGACTGAGAAGAAAAAAGCTACGTAGGTTGTTGATAAGGAGAGACAGGAAACAGCTTTTTTATTTCTACACTGAATGTCTGATGGGTATTAAAGACTGAGAACTGTTGCTGTTAAATTTGAAAAATTTAAAGCAAACTTAATGAAAAATAATGTAGGAAACTTTGAGAAGTACGTAAATATCCTAATGGAATTATTAAAGTGCATTTAGCCATGACCAAGTCCAAAATGGATTACTTTCCCAAAGTTTATGATCATTTTCTGCAACCATAGTTGGCCACTGCCAACTATTACTTATGGCTTTCAAAGTTATTTTCATTTACAATGTTGGTATTGTATACATTTTTCTCCTGATTATATTCATTTCATTTGCTGTCAGTTCATACAAATCTTTCCATGTTTCTCTGAATCCACCTCTTTTATTGTTTGTAATTGAGCATTGATATTCCAATGCACTTATTTTGCCTGCTTTTTATTTTTTAACATGTTGATTTATTGTTTTGACATTCTTTTCTTTTTAAATTTTGAATTCCAAATTCTCTCCCTCTTTTTCATCCCTTTTTCATCCACTGAGAAGGCAAGCAATATATCAGTCACACATATGAAGATATTCAAAACATATTTCCATATTAGCCATGTTTCAAAAAAGGAAGAAAAATGAAGTTAAGAAATTGTGCTTCATTTTTCACTCAGATTTCTCTCTCTCTAGGTGGATAGCACTTTTTCTTCATGAGTCCTTTGGAACTGTTTTGGGTTATTGTGTTGATCGGAGTAGCCAGGTCTTTCATAGTTGATCATCATTACAATGTTGCTGTTATTGTTCTTCTCACTTCAGTTTTCAGCAGTTCATATAAGTCTTTCTATGTTTTTCTGGAACCATCCCCTTCATCATTTCTTACACAACAGTACTCTATCACAATCCTATGCCACAACTTGTTTAGTCATTCTCCAACGGATGGACATCCTCTCAATCTCTAATTCTTTGCCACTACAAAAAGAGCTGCTATAATTTTTTTTCATATAAGTTCTATTTCTACATCCAACTGAGTATGCATGTATACATATATACACACACATGTATATATGCATATGTATGTATACTTATATATTATGTATACATATGTGAATATATGTATATGTATATTCTTCCCTCTTTGAACCAATTCTAATGAGAGTGA